GAGATCATGACCTAAGCTGAACCAAGAGTTGGATGCTCAACCAACTGTGCACCCCAGGCGTCCTGAGATTCCTTTTTTAAAAAAAAATTTTTTTAAATGTTTATTATTGAGAGACAGAGCATGGGCATGGGAGGGGCAGAGAGAGGGGAGACACAGACTCCAAAGCAGGTCTTCAAAGGTCTATAAATGAGCATGAAGCCTCCAACCAACATTTATGGCCATATGTTATATCGATAGAGACTTTATTTCTGTATCCATTCTACCTTTCCACATTCTCGTGGCAGGCCAGACTTCTCCTGGACAATAGTCAATCCAGTTTATAACATGACATTGTGTGTGTTCATGTGCTTAATTCTGTCTGTCCTTATAACCTGTCTCATGATGTCTATGGGCCACATGAGGGTTGAGACTGTGTCATTTTGGCTCAGCATTCTAATCCCCAGGACATTGCCTGAAGGATTTATGGAAGGAAGGAAGGAAGGAAGGAAGGAAGGAAGGAAGGAAGGAAGGAAGGAAAGGAGGGAGGGAGGACAACGAGCCAGGCACGGTGGTGGGCCCCAAGAACACCTGGTCCAATAGCTGCAGAAGTGCTCACAGCCCAGTCCAGGTCAGCTGGAGAAGGGCGTGGCTGGCACAGGTGCCCATCAGGACTGTGGGAAGAAGAGTGGATTCAGAACGGCTTCCCTGCAATGGGCAGGGCTTCTGCAGCTGCTCCAGAGATTCTAGCTTTAGGGGTGGCTCTGGGCAGAGGCAGGGACAGGGGGGAGGCACGGAGATGCAGATCAGAACTACACTGCACAGGAGGCCAGGCCCAGAGATGGTGCTCCCAGGTGAAAGCTCTCACTTCCAGAAGACACTGTCACCCTCATCCAAGGCCCCGGCATGCAAAATCCCATTCCTGAGAACCTTAGATTTCCCCAGATTGATACTAGCAGCAGAATGAATGCCTTTCTATTCCTATTTCCCAGATTGCTGCTATGGGTCTATGTGCACGTGAGAGAGACAACGATGAGGGAACCTTAAGTCCACCGTGGTTTGTTAAACACCACCACGCAGAACTGCATGGCGGAAACAGTGGGGTAGGAGCTGCCATCCCGAGGCCTGTCCTGCAAAATGGGATACATCTGTCTTCACCAGGGAACTATGATAAACGAGCAAAGACAGACACTGGTCAGGACAAGCCACTTTATTTAAGAGCTTCGACAGCCCAAAGTGGTTTAACATAGAGGCATGGAAGATTTATCTGGATGATAAAACACTTGAACTTGAAAGGCACATAAATTATAATTTTGTAGGGTTTTTTCCTTTTAAGATTTCATATAGTCAAAGGCTTTAAGTAATGAGTGAAATGCACATAAAGTTGACTTAATTTCATACACGTTGTCTGGTTAGAGTCTGCAGAGAGTCTTTGCTTCTAGATGGGACTGAGTTCAGAGTTAATGCCACACACCCGTGTCTGTGGCCTTCTGTTTCCACATCACGGTGGATATCATTTGGAGGATTGATAAACAGAAAAATAATAACGGCAACGTTAGTGATTGAACACTCACTATACCACAGTCTGTGCAGTGAAGACTGTACTTTATATACTTATATACGAGCATTACTTACTACTCCTAACAGCCCTGTGAGTAACATACTATAGAAAGACGACTTCAATTACTTTCCCTTTGACCTCAAGCTTTCTAATTAAGTTCTTTCCAGCTTATCTCTTAAGGAGGCAAGGGACCCTGCAGGAAAGCATCCCCTGATGGGGACCAACACTACCCCACCCCCTCAAACAATAAGGAATGCCCTGAGCCAGCAAGACCCCCTGTGACTGACCCCAGGACAATGGACTTGACCTTAACTGCCCACCTGCATACACCCACCCACCTTCATCCCACATTTTCCTTATATAAACCTGGAACTATTTTTGGCACTTGGGCAACAATCTTCAAGACCCTAGTCTGCTGTCTTCCTGGTGTTGGCGTCACTGAAATAAATTCCTTTCTTGTGTTACCACCACTCCTCTCTGCCTTTGGATTCTGCCAACAGTAAGTGGCCCAGCCTGGTCTGTTTGGGGGCCTTGGAGCTCTTGCATCCCTGCACCCTGGCTACACCATGGCTCCCATGTTCCGGATGCAAAAACTGAGCTTTAGAGTGCTTCTGTGACGCACAGGAGGTCACACAAGCAGTTTAATCGGACTCCAAAGCTGCAGCATTCACCACCACACTGCAGTGTACATGAAAATAAGCACTTGCCTTTAGCAAGGACTTGAAAACACTAGCTATTTTGCCTTATCTGTATACTCCTTTTTTTGTTTGTTTTGTTTTATTTTTTTTTTATTTTATTTTTTTTTAATTTTTTTTTCAACGTTTATTTATTTTTGCGACAGAGAGAGACAGAGCATGAACAGGGGAGGGGCAGAGAGAGAGGGAGACACAGAATCAGAAACAGGCTCCAGGCTCTGAGCCATCAGCCCAGAGCCCGACGCGGGGCTCGAACTCACGGACCGCGAGATCGTGACCTGGCTGAAGTCAGACGCTTAACCGACTGTGCCACCCAGGCGCCCCTGTTTGTTTTGTTTTAAACAACACACTTTAACACAGAGAATTTTGCCTTGTGAGTTTATGTTCAGTCATTCGTCCATTCACCATTCATTCTGGGCCCAGTATTCTGCTGGATGCAAGATTTACAGGATTGGATTCCCCAGCTTCTAAACCAGTCTCAGGCAATTACTGTACCCAGGTGAAGGGCAGGGCAGGATGGGGCAGGGGCAGCCCCTCACAGGGGACCCATAACGAGCTGTGGGTTAGAGACGCACCTGAAAGAGACAATTTTAGATCTTTTACACTCTGGTCCCCACCCCCTCCCTTAACCCATAACTTTCTGGGCCTTTCCTTGGCCAGAGTCTTCAAAGACCTCAAACTCCCCAGGCCTCTGGACAGAGTGGCTCCCCAAGAGGCCTTTTATCATGCAGAACACTCCCTTCTCCGGTCCCAGCTGAAGTTTTGCGGTAAAACCAGTGCCCCAGATAACACAGCTCCTCAGCTAATCACCCTGCACAGACCCTCAGAGCCACCCCCTGGCCCCCACCTCCACTCTCCCCCTGCCTTGTTTCACCAATTTTTGTCCCAAATAAGAGATAATAACAGCAGCAGCAGTAGTAACTGCCTACATGTCAGGCACTGCTCGATGTACTTTGGGTACACTATCTCATTAAATCCCATAATAATCCTCTGCCCTGCACACTGTTACTCTTCCTATTTAGTTCATTTAGGGGAAGAGGAAGGGAGTTAATATTTCTTCAGGGTCAACTGTATGCCGACCACTGTTAAGCTTGCACAATCAGATAAGTGACCTGCCCAGGGTTGGTCACAGAGCTGGGAAATAAGGAGTAAGAATCTGAACCCAGGTCTGTGACCGCCTGGCCTAGTGTTTCCCTTCCCTTCTCTATGGCTGGCACTGCTGAGGTTTGCAAAGACAGCCCTCTCTCCCTCTTCCTCCAGCACCCTTCTGTTAACATCGGTCCTGTTTTTACTACCACCACCCACAAACAGTGACAGACTCCTCTCTCAACTGTGTCCCCTGACTCTCTGGGCCTCCCAGCCAGTTTTCATGGAGCAGATCCTAAAGTCTACACCAACAGTGTAAACAGAGGCAAAGAAGAAACTGGGATCATTCAAGCCAATAAAACACACCAAGAGGCTAACAGGTGTTTCCTGAAGTGCCCACCCCACCCCACCCCCATCTTAAATCCCTGGGGTTTCAAGATCTGAGGGGTCCTCAGCTAGGGATCACAGGCTTAAGTCCTCTGGGGGAGTTTTTTGGCCCGTTGTCAGGGGTGACACCACCAATGAGAGTGAGCAGGTAACTATATGCTCTGTCAGAGTGTGAGACTTAAGTTCTGGGGGCTCATGGAACTGGCAGTAACAGGTGAGGCTTTCTGAGAAATGGTTACCTCCCCAGAAGCAGAGGGTCGCTCCCCAGCAAGGCCAGAGCATCAGAAGCCCTCCTCTGATGACTCCCCGAGCACTGAGCCCACCAGGCTGAAACTCGGTTTACTTCACCTGGCCCACCCTACAGGAGCCCTAGGAGGGCAGGCCGGAGGCAGGTTTCTCACTGAACTCTCAGACGCAATAAAAAGGGAGTACTAGTTAAATGTTTCCAGAATAAATCACCAAAGACAGCATCATTTTAGAGAAAAGGCTGTTTGAGAGATTCTACTCAGACTAAGGAACAGGACTCCAGGAGAGGGGAAGTGGGTTTGCTCAGAGGCTGGCACACTCTTTAGTCCAGATCAGCATCCTGCTCCATTCAGAAACGTTTCCAAATGTACTTCACTTACACCTGGGAACACCGCTCAGTCATGTAAATTCAACGCCCCAGTCTTCAATGCGTAGACACCCCCCCCCCCCAATTTTATAGAGCAGAAAGTTCAGGAATTGGCTTCCCCCCGCCCAGCTGTCTAAAGGCAGGCCCCACATACAAGCCACGTTCTCTCCTAACACAATGTGTCTGCTGTGTTGTTCTCCATCCTGGAATTGACTCATGCTGAAGTTTGTGCTCCAGCACCCTTCACATTTGAGACCGCCGGTTAAATCCTCCCCTGCAACCTGCACTTTCTATCTTCACAGCTCTTACAGGGGTCTTACCCACTACACTGTGAGCTCCACCGCAGCGGGCACCACCACGTTCGTTCGCCCACTTCTGTATGCCCAGCACATGGCCCAGTGGCCGGCACTCGGTGGCACACGGTAAGTTTCCGCAGGCTGCCAGAGTGGGGAAGGTGGGATCCGAACTCGTGTCTGCCGGGTTCGGGTCAGAGCCAAATGGTTCTAGGGGTTAGACCACGCTGCGGCGAGAATGCGCGGTGCGCGGGTGTACTGGGGAGGCGTTCTACAGTCTCTCCCACCAAGGACTGCTGCCGGGCTCCGCACCCCGCCGCCACCTGTAGCCACAGCGCCCAGGTGTGGGCCGGCGCCCTCCAGGGCAAAAACGGGCTGGTGGCCCTTACCTGCGTGCGGCGAGGCTCCGCAGAAGCACTCTGTGAGCCTCGGGGGACTGCCAAGGACTGGGGTATCCGGCTTGGCCCGCCCGCGGCCCTGCACCCGAAGACCGCGCGGGACGCCGCCTGGTCTCGCTGCGCAAGGCCCTCTGCGGCCTGGGAGCTACACGGAGAGCGGAGCCCGGCCCGCCCCCCGGGCGGGGGTAGGGCGGGTCTAAAGCTAACTTGACCCCGCGCTCCCCGGGCGCCCTGCCGTGGGCGGAGTCAGAGGTAAACTTAGCACTGCGCCCAGCCCCTTCGGTGGGGGCGGTCCCTAAGGGGGAACGAGGCACTGCGTCCCGCCCCTTCGTTCTAGGCCCCGCCCTCCCGCCCCAGCACAATCCCCATCCTGCTCTCACCCGCTAGCCTTTTTTGTGTTCCGTGCCCCTTTGCTTTTTATTTTCTTGTTTTGTGTTCCGTTTTCTTATTTTTATTTCTGTATTTTTAAAAGATCGAATTAAAAAACGTATCAAAGTAATGCATGAATACTCTTTACAAAATAAAGTTACCTAATGTTCTTATAATGAAAGCAACAAGCCCTTCTCCCTTGCTCCCCACACGTGGCCCTTTATATGAGTTCCTCCATTTAGTTCTTCTGGTGGTCACCCCCTTGTCGATAAAAAAAAAAAAAAAAAAAGCTTACATAGCGATTTCTTGATTTATCTATTGACTTTCTGCCATGTTAGATGAGGATTTACTCTCTTACTGTGCCCCTGCTTCCCTTTTCCTGACAAATTTACACCTCTATTCTTAAGTCCTGCCCTGGTGAGCTCTGAGACCTCAAGACAGGAGTAGAGGAAGGCTTTCTGGGACCTGCAGCTAATACAATTATGGGGGAAGGGAGAAAGGAGGGCTATTTTAGACAGCTCTATAGCATTAAGGCTTGCAAATGACCATTTGTTTGGAATGAGCAAAATCCTGAGACCTTGGAAATTCAGGTCTCTATCCCCCGAGACCTTCTTAGATAATTTACTTGGTGAATTTGCTTCCCCAGTGTGGCCTGTCTTTCTCTCCCCACACAGAAACCTCCATAAATCCAGACTTCTCAAGGGTCACGGGGTGAAGGTCAAGATTCATCAATTTCTGCCAATAGGATTTCTTAATGCAGTGAACTGGTGTGTGCAAAAAAGAGACGTCAAGGATGATGTCAAGGTTTTGTGATTGCTACACAGCTTATCCTAGCATCAGTGACAAGTTCTTAACCTTAGAATGGAGAGTGTTTTATAAAGCTGGCTCTGGGCCCCTGCCCTGTCACCAGATCCTCCCAGTTCTCCCATGAGGTTGGCTGGACCTGCCCAGTGTCCCCGCTTTAGGAGGGCTCATAACTTATCCCTCTTGTATCAATGCAGGAGACACACAGCTAGCTCCCAGTAAGTGGCAAGGTAAAGGGGCTGGTACCCCTTCCTCACTCAGATGGAAAAAAGTGTCCACACCCTCCTGACACCCCTTCTCTCCTCAGAGAGTTCAACCCTTCCCCTTCCTCTGCTCTGCCTTCATTCTCTCCTGCTCACTCTGCTCTCGTTCCCTTGTCCAGCTCCTGAGGGCAAAGGACTTGGGACTAACTCTGACTGAGGGTGTGAAATGTGACTTTACAAGGTGACCTTGGACAAAATCCCTTTTCCAATTCAAGCTTGTTTCCTTCTTTGAAATTGGAGGTAACAGTCTCTACCGCGTTGAGCTTTAGAGGAGGATTAAGTGGCTTAATATCCATGTATACACGGATTTTTTTAACTGTTTTTTTAACTCACATTTTTTTTATTATTAAATGTATTGAATATTAAAATTAATCATTCTTTTCTTTTTATTGCTTCTGGATCTTGTGTCATACTCAGACCATTCATTCATTCCCAGTCTAAGATTAAAAAAAAAAAAATTGAAGTATAATGACCTTTGTAATTCTCTTATGTTCTCTTATTCAAAACTTAGTTTGTCTCCTAGCAGAGTGGGAAGCTCATGAGAAAGTTTAGGGACTTCTAAGAATCTGTGTGTGGCATGTTGTTACCATAGGTTGAATTAAAATAAAGAGCTAAATCGGGTTGCCTGGCTGGCTCAGTCAGTGGGACATGTGACTCTTGATCTCAGGATCTCGAGTGTGAGCCTCACATTGGATGCAGACATTATTTAAAAAGAAAAAAAATTGAAATCAAGGGCTGATTCATGCTGAGTCAGGGTCCTGACTCTGAACACAAACAGCAAGAGGGACACGGGATATGAGGCAGTGACTTCTCCATGCAAGGGACTTTTCTTCCCTAAGAAGACTTAGTCTTCTCTAGGAGGAAGTCTGCCTTCTGGGCACAAAATAGTGTCTCCTAGTGGTAGGAAGTAAGAACCCCACACAATAGCCACACTTACCCTAACCTAAGTAAGGGAGAGGCAGGGGTTGAGAAATCCATCTGGAGAGACAACTAGCTTCTAATATTTTAGAAGGGGGGAATACATATCAAGATGAGAGTCATGTCCTTTGCTTGAGGGCATGAAGTGCTACTGGATTATGGGTTTAATGGGGATAAAATTTTTGGTAAGTTTCATCTCTCCTGAATCCTATCACCATGATGGCTCAGGCAGGAGGAAGATTTCACATAAAGCGTGTCTCAGTTTGAGTCCTTTGGAAGCAGATCCTGAGACAAGGATTCAAGTGCAAGCAGCCTATTTGGGAGATACAGGGAACACCAGCAGAAGAATGGAATACGAAGAACGGAGGGAAGGAAAGGCAGGATGCATTGTTAAGCCAGCTACCAGAACAGGTGATTGGAGCTTAATCCTGTGGGAAAACTCTAGAAGTTATTAAAGAACATGCCTCAGAATTATCCCACCCAAGCAAAGGCTGTAAGTGGGAGGTCTCTAAAGGGAAGAAAACTGCAACAGACAGATTAGCTCATTTTTGAACATTTTTCAAACTATTTCCAGGCATAAAAATGTGGCTACCCAGTGAGATCAAGCTGTAACACTGTCTGCACTTTCCTTCTATTACCTAACGGTGTTCTGACAAAGTTTCAGTAGGAGCATTTTGGGCAGTAACCAATGTGCAGATGGCTGAGAGTCAGTGTCTCAGGTCTAGAAGTGTGCCCTGAAGGACATTCTGGAAAATCTGCTCTTGGACAGATTATGATAGGACTTTACCCGGGTCAGCCTCTGTGTTTAGATGCGCCCATAACCTTGACTTCTGAGCTCTCATGAGAAAGGGCACACTTTGAGGAAAAGTAACATGAAAAAAAAAAAAAAGAGCCTGGTGGACTTTTAAAATGACCGAAGAGGGCAAACTTTTCAATCACTGTAAGCACCTCAGAAGATGGGTGTTTTCTCAGAAGCAGTGAACAGATAATGCCAATGCTGACTCTCTCTTATGTGGCCTCTTGAGCAGGATTCCATGAGAAAACTGTCATTTTGTCAACCTGGCTCCATCAGCCGTACTTACTATTGAACTAAAGTGATCCTTTTAAAACATGACACAGTTCCCAGTATGCCTCTAGCTCAGAAGCCCTCAGTGGCTCCCACCACAATTAGGGTCAAATCCCAAGTCCTTCCCAATGGCCCAAGGCCCTCACAAGATCTGCCCCAACAAACTCTTCCTAACATTGTCTCCTGACAATAACCACTGGGCATTCCTCACCTCCGGTCTCCTTGGCTTTGCTGTTGCTACTGGAACGCACTGGGTCTGTTTGTACCCCAGAGTTACTGCACTGCTGTTCTCACTGATTGAAATGCTACACTGTCCCGACTCTTAAGGTCACTTGCCCAATTCATCAGCTTTCTAATGGATCACTACCTAACAACAAACACTGCACACTGCCCCATACATACCACTTGTTAGCTGTCTATGGAATATATTTTTATTTTTTATTTGCATAATAAATAAGTATGAGGTCCAAAAAGAGCTGAGTCTTTATATATATATGTTGTTCCCTCATATATCCCCACACTTAGAACAAACAGTGCCTGCTGCCTGGTAGGTATTTAATAAATATTTGTTGGATGAATCAACCAATTGAATTGAGTGAATGAAAAATATAACCAAAATCAGTAAATACATAGTTCGAAAATATTCTAGAATGTGGACTTTCAACTAATCTAGACTGGATTCCTTTCAGAGAATTGTTGGAGTGGAGAGAGAAAAAATCAAATGAAGTGGTTGAGAAGCATTATATAATTGGACTCACAATTACAGATGAGTATTGGATTGAGGACCTTTGCTGTTTTGTCTTTGACCTGATGTCTGTGTTAAATATTTAAGAAAAGGCTAGCTTGAAAGGCTACATACTCATTTAAAAGTAGTAAGAAGGAAAAGGTTCCCCTAGTTATTTTAATAATTCAGAATGGTGTTCTGTGGCTCCTGTTGGCATGTGAGGGCCCATGATGGTAACTGCTTACCTGAAAATAGAGGCCTTGATCAAATATTTAAGATCTCACTTATTTTCATTTTCTGCATATTTTTTATGCCTGCGTCTTACTTCTTTTTACCCGTTCTGCAGCTGCACATTCACACACTAAAGCTAATAGAAATGTTTCATGGATTATTAAATGCAGCTAAGCAATGAGCTTTTGCTAGGACGTAAGGCCAAACTGGGGCCACTTTCCTGTTCTAACAAACTAAGTTTTCCTTGAAGGTGCAGCCTATAAATTTACAGAGGCCTCTCCCCTGTATTCTGAAAATTTTTAAGGCACTTGCACATCTGCTGCAAAGAGATTTTGAAGTGGAAAACAAAGACAGGTTTTACAGTAGCGTGATTAAGCTGTCTTAGAATCAAGAACAGCTGAAGTCATAGAATTAATAAGTGGACCCTTGAAATTATGGCAAGATGACACTAACTGGTATCTGTTTGCTAATGGAAACATTGTACTCTGGTGTCACCAGCAGTGGCCTGGGTTTGGGTTAGTGTCTACCTAGGCTTAATTGCCTAAAGAATGTTCCAGTACCAGCACCCCAGTGCTGTAAATTATCTTTTCTAATGGAGCTTTCCTATTCTACCCCTGTAGCTAAAACTCTAATTCAGGCTTTGATGTCTGTTGGGCCCACTTGGTACAAAGAAGTCCTTTGAAGGAGGTCAAAGTCATAATACATTGTTCACCATGGAAAAGTACTTTGGGAATACTCCTCATTTTTCGATGAGGAGAGAGTGCCCAAAGAGGTTAGGTGATTTACTCAAGACCACACGCAGCTGGTCAGAGATGGGGCTGGATGGTATCA